GAGTTCAACGCTCTACCACCGAACTTTGGATTCGATGTCCTGTTGGTCGTAATCGAAAGCAGTAGCTAGGGTTGAAGCGTGTTCATCCATAAGGCTACGGGAGATGCTCATCCTGTTGCGCCTTGGGGCTCAATCTAGAGTCCTCGCATGTGGTCACATAGCGACAAGAAATTATGAGAGAGAAGTACAGGCAATGATAGCACAGACGCTCGAATGGCGATTTTTGGTTTATCAGCCGTCATCAGTCACACCCAAACCCGGGTTTGGAAAACCTGGGATTCTAATAAGAGCGTTAAACCCAACAGGTTACCATTGGAGTACGTGTCTGTAGTCCTTTCCTGACTATATTGTTACGTTGGTCGTCAAGATTATAGATCACAGTTGAAGTATTGCCACGACGTAAGCTTCGTTAATTGTCGAAAACGCCCTCATAGTGCTTTTTTGATCGGCTTTACTTGTATCCCGATGGACGTGCAAGGCAAAATGGGTGCACTGTTCGGCTTGGATGGGGATGTATCACTCAACATTTCTTCCTTTATCGTACCCTTAAACATCGCCACTGGTTCGCGGATTTCGCCACTGGATCTGGCTCTACCAGTCGGAGTGGCCAGTGTTCATTTATGTCGCGTGTTTGGTCCTCCGATTCAGGTTTAATATCTCAGAGCCAAAACCAAGACCTACGAGTGATTTCATTGATGTTACATCCAACGTCTGCTAGACCTTATTTCTTTCACTGACTCCGTTTAACTACATGATAGACTGGGCCTTCAACACGCACTAGTAGATCAATCTGATTTTAGCGTATGTCGTATCTGTGTGTCACGAGTTTGCTGTAAAATGAGAGCATTGAGGTGATGGACAGGCCCTTGACAAGCAAATTGAAAGGCAGCCGATGTAGATTTGAAAATCAAGCCAGGAGGCGTTCGGTCAGGCATGATTACTAGGCGAAACTTCGAGAGCTTAAACTGAACCCTATATTAAACGGACAAGAATTAAATTCATCGTAACATCGGTTGAGTTGGTAACCCTTACTCGACCTTGCCGAGACCTCTGGAATTGGCGTGATAGCAGTACGAAGACCCAGGCAGGAGTATAAGAAGCTTCCGTCAGGACTTATATGCGGATGTCCACTGACGCATACCTTCCCCCCC